TATTTTGCATTGTTTTCAAAATTGACAAATCCAGTTCAAGTATTTATTTATATCAAATGGCAGGCGTCTTGATGGCTATCATTAGCCCTTTAGGTGACTTCAGGCTTCACAGAGGGGAAGGAACATCAAAGTGGAAAAAAAGTCGAGATGGGGGGGGGGGCAGAAGAGTGCTTCAAAGACCAAGGTAGAAAAAAGGTGAGGTGAGCACTGTGGAAGTAGTCGAATATGACATACAGTGGGGTGAGGGTAGTTTGAAGTGAGAAGTCAACTGCCGGTTAATAGACTTTTTTGCAGTATGAATATACGTTGCCCAGGGTGCACCGCGTGGAGGTAAGTCTATCGCACACCCCCAGTTCAAGTATAGTAAGTGTCAATCAACACCTGGAAGACAGGAAAGATAACATCAATAAGACTTGCTGAGTGATTTTGTGAGTATTTTGGCATAAGCACCCAAAATAGACACGACTGGCGACTAATGAAAAAATGCTTATATATTACTCAAATTTATTTCTCAATTAATTAGTTTGGCTTCCAGTTCATTCCTGTTGCCACATTAGCATTAGACTTTTTCCATCTATAGAAATGAAATAGAAATCATAAAAATAATTTAAATAAAAACATTAATAGTTTGGTTTTGATTCATCTGTAGGGTATATACATAGCTAGATTGGAGGGAGCAGTTTGTTATCTCGACACACAGAAGAACGATTGAAAATAAACCCTGTTTCCCTTTAATCTTAAAAGAATACTTATTCACTACTACATAAAATTAGCTAAAATCTTAAGAATTCTCAATAGAACGTATGCTTAGTTCAGAACAGAAATTATTTTAGTTTGATTGAACTGAATAGTAGATAACCTTTGTGTATATAAGTGTTTTTAAGTGGGGCAATGATAATTCCAAAAAAATTTAGAGCATTCAAGATAATTATTTTTTTAATTAAAAGAATGGGAGCCCATAGGGTTTAGTAAAGCAAGGTGAAGAAAATCAAAATTATGAATAATAGGTTTTTACAGTTTTACCATCAGGTTATTGGGAGAACTGGTAAAAATTTATATGAATTATACTTTAGCATCGGGTATCTAGCCAAGCACTCAAGAATACCTCTTAGTTATTTTGTGATTTCCAACATATTTTATACCATTTTGAAGAGTTTTAAGCAAATAAAAAGTTTTATTTGTAATTTCAATTTGTCGGTGCTAGTTAATTAATTAATTAAAATAAATAGCGAAATTTACAATACAAAATTGATGAAGCCCTAAATATCTAAGGAAAAAATTTATAAAACCTTACTCTTCCAATTCGTTTATTTTTTACTAGCGTTTTCAATATTTATGATACTCATTTTGAAGGTCGCGCCACACGTGCACTATTTGGCGATTTACTCATGGGTCGCTTGTCAACTCAGAAGATTCCGGAGGATCTTGAACAGTTTTTCAAGTCCTTGAAGGCTTCTAATTGTTCCGCGAAGTGGGATTGGAATAAGCTCATCGAGGTAATTCGACCAGCAAATCGTAATGGGAAAGCGTTTTTGGGCTTGTGTGAAGCAGGTGTATTCCATATGATGTACAGCAAAACATCCAAAAGGGAATCCAATCTTCTCTGTAAAAAACTGCATACATCCGATATTGACTTACTGAATTCTGTTGGTATTTGTTATGCGCTACAGTTGCTATCTGGAATTGCCTCCAACCGCATTGATAAATTCAAGGAGACTTTTGAGCAGATTGTATCTTCGCTTCTGGACGCTATTATAACGGCTTTAAAAATTTCAGATTTTAATGCCCCAGTTCTTCAGCCTCTTACTGCACTCCAAGATACCAAGAAAAGTGTTCTTCCACGTATATCTCCCATGAATGAAACTGGTGTGACTAATATCCTTGAATTGGCCCTTTGTAGAATGTATGTGCTATCTAGCACTCTTCGTAGTTTACTTGAGCACGGGACTTCCGTTACTGTTCCTGTCAGCTTACCATATTTGTGCTCAGTGATTGCTGCAGCATTTTCTGTGAATATATGTGATGCGCGTCGATCATCTTTTGTTCTGATATCATGCGCTAAGCATCTTCTTCATACATTCAGTGTAATTGTTCAGTCCTGTGGTGTCAATATTTCTCCTGCAGCGCCGTCTCTTTTCACGAGTATGGTGTATCAACTCGAATGGTCTTCGAATTTCGCTCGTTGTCATCCTTCGGAGCAATCCCTAACCTATAAGCTGGCCGTTTATCGATGTATTTCATCTCTTCTAGATGCCACGGTTCATGTTGCATCTCCCACTCTATGCCGTCTTGCTAATCGAGTTATTTATGAAGTCTCTTCCGATATTTCCTTCCCAGCTAGAGAGAACCTAAATCAAATGTTCATCAGCAGTGGTGGTGACTTAGCCATCTACGAACTACAAATTTGCTGCACTGTGGCTTCTCTTCATCTTTTGGAAGTTCTTTTTGTCAATCATCATTTTATTCTTAACTGTTCTATAGCAGAAGGCGCTGATTTTTGTGATTACAAACTGAAGCATGCATTATTATCTTTATCCTCGGAAGTAAATGCTCTTGCATCTCGACTTGTTTTTCTGTTGAGCAAACAGAATAGACTAAATTCCATTGAAGAGGTTTTGATTAGACCTCACTTCCTCATGGCACTTATCGATACGGCTTCAGCTGTTGTAGACTATGGATTCCTTTTTTCAAGGTTTAATGCTTTGTATGATCTAACGAAGTCTCTCCTGGCGCATAAAGATTACGACCTTCGTTTAACGGCTGATAGGTGTTTTAGACATTCGTTCAAGTTCCTTAAATCAGAAACGCCATGTCTCGCTAATGAAAAGTTGTTCGTGTCATCCTTTACTCAAACTGATGAGACGAATCCTTCTATTCAGCCTGAAAAGGAAGAGACAAATGCCACATCTGCTGTGGAATATACATCCAAAGCAGGTACACTTGTGGAAAAGGAATCGACTTCACATGTATCTGCTAACTTTTATTCAAATGTTTCGGAGCATCACAAGCCCATGAATTCAATAAAATCGAATAGTATCCCTGTGGAGAAAACCATGAAACCCTTTTCCTCTGAAATGATGGAGACACCGAAGCAGTCGGAAAATTATGGAAAGAAGAGAGTGCGGTTTGAAGACACTCCCCCAAATGCCTCGAAGAAATCCTGTATTGAAAATAGGAGTATTTTAAGGGCACCAACTCCAGCGAAGCCACCCAAACAGACTCCAGCCCCTGAAGAAAATTCGGACTTAAACTTTGCCTCAATTGAAGAGGCCTTGTGTACATTTGATGATACTTTGTTGTAAATAGATGAAGGCGATGTATCACCCCCATTTATTCAGTTTGTTTTTCTTTTAATTGCAAGTGGTCCATATGCAGTTGTTGAAATAGTATTCTATAGAAAACAGATGAGAGCAATTGGGTTCTGGTAGGGATTTAATGTTAATTGCCATTTGCTAACATAGTCTTTCAACAAGGGAACTTCAAGACGGCACTCACTCCTTAAGACGAGTGTTGGAAAACGATTTTTAAAGGGAACAGTTACCTAAATGTAATTTTTAAAAGTCCCGTGATCGTCAACCTATGCACCAAACAGCAAACTCCACAGATTCGATGGTCCTTGCCTCTACAATATCTACATTTTAGTGAATTGAATTAACCTTAATAGCGTGGAGAAAATGTTGAAACAAGTACTAATCATGATGACATTCGTAGCTATAGTTTAAAAACCTGTCTGCCGAACAGATAATAAGGAAATGGCCATTTTCTTGCAAAGGGGGAGCAATTCGATGGGTCGGACTATCGAATTCCAGCAAACCTTCACTACGGCTTATTGGAATTAGTAAGGGATAAATATTTATGGAGCGATAGAGGCGGTGGATTTCAGGTCAAGCTCAGGTATCGTCTTTCTATTTTCAGAACGAGCATCTGAAAATTTTGGCGACGAATTTGAGAGGTTGAAATGTGCCGACTCGAGAAAAGAAATCGACTACAACATCACGTGGTACTTTATGCACTACCCGATGTGTAAAATCAACTCAAGGATAATGCTTCTTCCATTATGACTTCTAAGAGTAAGTCAAGGCCGGAAAGGAATGTCAAAGTGCAGCAAAAATACTGATACAACCCACACACACTAGGCCTCGCTTGGAAGCCATTACCTAATTCGTCTCTTTGATAGACGGAAGAATTAGCATTCTATGCAATGCAATGGACTTTCATCATGAAGCGCCAGATAGAAACCGAATCATACACGTAGTTGGCAAACGACAAGTGTTTGCATCACTGAAACAAATGATCTAGCTACGCGAACAATCGGCCGTGTAATTATTCGAAAAGAAAAAACACATCAAAAGATCCAGATTATTCAATTGTACTCCCAAAATATGTAATTTAACTCAAGTACTTTATGTACATACATTCCACATTTACAATTCTTCAATTCCTTCTCTTTACAAGATTAACAGCATCCCGAAGGAGGACCTTTTAGCGCTTGTCGAACACCCAGGCCACATTCAATCCGGATGGGCCAAGAGAAATATGCCTAGAGAATATCGATTAAACGAGGGGAAAAAGTTCTCCCTCTTACCTTATATTGCCGTCAAGTGTTTTGTAAAAGTGGAAGAACATAAGCAGACCATGGTAAAGATTGAATCTATCTTGAGGGAACGTGTATACAGTGCCATCTAAAACGATCTTGATCATTGGTGGTTGAACAGCAGTTACGTAGATTTGTGCATCGTACTTTAACTTTAGATCTAGAGGGAAGGGTGTAAAATGAGTTGAAGCTTCTCAATTATAAAATACATTCTTATTTGCGTTGAAAAATTGCTAACCAGGTTTATCTGGACTGCGAATGAGATGCAATAGACTGAAGACACCATGTGTGAAGCACTTAGCGTCAGGAGGAAGCAAATTGTCCATATAAGCGGAGAAGATATGCAGAAGGATCTATAGACAAAATAAGAGCAAAAGGAGGGCATATAATCTCAGAGAATTTGATAAACACCCATTCAATGAATGGAATGAAGCTTCGCACATCACCGTCTTAGAGATTAACTTAAAGTGATAAGAATGGGACATCGAGCATGAATTGCCAATTAGAATTGTGAAGTGGGAGCATCTCACTGTGGATATTTTAGTCAATAGTATCGTGATGTTACACTGGGATGGTATGAGAAAATAAAAATTGCAATAAGCTCAGAACCAAATGAAAATGTGAATTAATGATCGCTAGTTTTAAAGTAGGATTTAGCTTCCGATGTAACTTACTAAAGAATCGTTGGGCAGGTAATCCTTCCATGGCAAAGAGGTACTGCGAGAACCTGCATCCCATTTGAAATCTGCCAAGCAGTGTCCGCGTGCAAGTTCTACAATTTTTGATAAAATTAGTGTGTTAGTTTCAAAAAAAAGGAGAGCAAAGCTCGAACAAAAAGTAATTTAAGACAAAAAAACATACCTTGCAGACGGTTAACCATATAGTTTTGATGCTTGGTCAGATTTAGAAACTTAATAAGCATAGGAAGTGTGGTTATGTGCTGATAAGGTCCTTTAGCCAATTGTTCCAGAGTGTTCAGAGTAGTAGCTAGTAAAAAAGACAATTAAAATCAGCAATAGGTAGAACGAACTGCGAATTTGCTACTTACATCCTAAAGGCGATGCGTCCTCAGAAATGTTGGCGATTTTAGAATTGACTACGTTAATTTCATCCACGACACGACGCAGAACTGTCCCATGTAACCACTAGAAGAAAAAGGAAAACAAGTATGCACAGTGACCCAACTCATCTCAGTGAAGAACGTCAATTTCATATACTTTCAACGGCAATGATTCAGAAGCCTCTTTTAACCAAGTTTAGAAAACCAAATGAATTTTTACTTACTCTTCGAATATTCACAGTCCAACGCTCTAAATCGAGTTCTGATACGCCATTAGCTCTCCAGTACTAGAAGAGAAGTAAATCAACCATTGTAAATTGATATAAATGCATGGTCCAAAATATTTTAGAACACCTACCTCAGATGAATTCTTTTCAGGAGCATCAAACGCCTTAGGAGTTTTTCTTTTCAGTCTTCCCAATCCAAGATCACCACTGCCATCATCAACACAAGGAGAGGACGCAAATAACGCTTCAATAGCTTCATCCATACCTCTTCTTCGACCGACACTGTTGCCATAGCTGCCAAAAGAATTACTGTCAACGTGAGCACTCAAACTTTTTGACGTAGAAAGTTGATACTGTAAAGGAGTTGTTGGTGGAGTGGTACTTGTCGAGCAGGTGCCCCATTGAGTCAAAGATGATCGATTCATTATATTAGGACTTGGTGATGACGAAAGCCGACTATGATCGCCAACAACTGAAAAGTTTTCCCTAGAAGAACTAGTTTTCAAAACAGGTGATTGTGTAGATATATTGAGGGGGCCGAAAGACTGCCCAGGAAACCAAACAGTTCGTTGTGCCTCGATTTGTGAATCAATGCGACTAGGAGATATTTTAGAAACAACGAAAGGACTATGAATGATAGATTTCTTGAAAACGGTAGGCCCACATTGGTTCTCAAACGTCTGATCAGCGACATTAAGCGTTGCTAAAGTGAATAATGATTTACATATTTAATCTTACCATTCGAATTGCTTGGTTCGAATAATTTTAGAGCGACGCATAATCGATAAAGATTATTTATAAAGGAGAGGAGCACAATAACAAGAATAACAAAAACTAGGAAAGAAATATATAAAATTAATAAGGCTTACTTGTAGCCTGAAATGCAATCAAAGCAAAGCTTACACGAGAGAAATTGAGGTAAAGGTATTCAGGATTTCTAAAAGATGAGACAATTGCAAAACATGACTTACAAAAAGGCAGCCAGCCAAAACGCTGCAATCAGATTGACAACTGCCCAAACGAAAGATCTGCGAATGCTACTTCTTCTCCAGATATCATCATAAAGATTGGAAAAAGAAGGGTTTTGCCAAATGATGGAATTCATGGCAAGCCTAAAAAGTTCACCATGAAAGGCAATAAAATTAAATAAAGAAAATAAGTTACATATATATAAGTAAATAAACATACCACAAAAAGGGACGTACCAAGAACACCAAAGGCAAAAGTCAAATTGAATACTTGAAGGACGTTAGTTGATGAGTGAGTTTTAAAACAAAATTTATGTAATATTATATTCTAGCCCCTGTTAAATATAAAGATGATGTTAAGCATATGATTCATTGTGATGTTTGGATCATCATAATTTGTCTCAGTTTTATTTTATAATTTTATAATTAAAACCAGCCTAGTCATGTATACACTTTGTTTGTTTCTCTTCTAATATTTGAGAATAAGTTTTGGGTAATAAAATTTCTTGTATATTTTAATTTATTGCTTCGTTAAATTTGAAAGCGCCTCGAAGTTTAGCTAATTCAACAGTGCTTGCTTGAGGATTGAAATTACATTGTCACATCTTCCCAACGTTTTAGTTATTATATTATGTGATATATTTTATTTTCAAAATTCTTTATTTATAGTTAATTTCTAATAGGATATAGAGTTTTCATAGCAGTTTAATCAGTTTCTCCCTACCATCATTTTGGTTTCGAGCTCCAAACGAAACATGACATCTTATAATGCATAATGCAAAATGAGAATATGCAAGAAAAAGAACGAATTCAAGAAATTCCTTGCCTGCTCGTGAGATGCACCAAATGAATTCTAGTAAATATATTTAAAAAAAGAGATTTTTGAGGATAATCTATTCATAAATGGTGTCTCAACATAACATGATTGTACTTCAATGTGTAATTATTGGTCTACCTCGATATTTGTTAAATCATTGTCTAGAAAGACACTAATGAACTTTTAAGTTCTACTTCGATCACAGGGCATTAACTACGTGGAAATTAAATATTTTGAAAAAAATGACTTTTGGAATGCGATTGATAGTATTACTTTTAGAAAATATTTGTAACCACAATAGTAAAGCAATGCTAACAAAATACGAATAATGATAAAATGGAAGTCATTCAGAATTTCCATGAAAAAGATTGTTCCATCATTGCTAACGGAATTATATCTATTTTATCGTTGGCACCATTTTTAGTGTTCCCAAAAGTCGGCATCATTTTCGCGTCTTCAGCAAATAATATTCCGTTTAATCGTTGGTGTTTGGATTTTAATATCTTTATCTTTCTATAAACCTGTATTCTGCAAAATATCACTCGTTCACTTCTTATTCTTTGTCCTTAATGAAAGTAAACAAAAGTTGCACGGTTTAATTACATTATATTTTTCTTTTGGGGGGCGCTGACAGGCATACCTCCATGCAATGCGCCCTTTGCAACGTATTTTCATATGGCAAAAAAGTCTATAAACAGGCAGTTGGCTTCTCACTTCAAACTACCATGACCCGACTCTATGTCATATTCGATCACTTCCACAGTACTCGCATCATCTTACCCTGTTCTCTACCGTAGTGTCTCTTTCATATCTGTGTATCACTCTTTTGTTCCCACTCTCAACTTTTTGTTACTTTGATGATCCTCCTCCCTATGAAACCCGAAGTCAACTATAATAAAGCTTGCCATTTGATTTACATAAATAATAGGTACTTGAATCATCTGATTTACTTACTATTAAAATTTCCATAATTCAGCCACATCTGTATGTACACTGGCATGTGTGGGTGAAATTGGGGTCAGCTAGAAAGGAAGTTGAACATCTTTTACAAGGTGGGAAAAGTTGAGAGTAAACCAAAATAAATATATCCAAACGTCTTTGAAGCACATAAACCTCACTTTATTACTTCAAGAATCAACAGGAAATATTAAGATAATGTAGAATGGAAACAAAATGACAAAGGATGATTTCATGATTGTATTTATGAGGACTATTTTTAACTTCCAGGTTGGTGTTGGTTTGTGGCTTTTCTAATATGATTGCTGATCACCAATCACTACACAATTTCACTCATTCATAATTTTAGAGGCCCTTACACCCTCTCGATATTTTTTCCTTTTAATTTTTTTTTATTGATTTCTAAAGAGATTGAAATACATTAAATATATTCGAAAGATATGAATGTATATGTTGTACGCAAATTGTATGAGATATCTACCTCTTTTCTACCCCCTCTCGACTTTCTTTCACTTTGATGTTCTTCTTCCTCTGTGGAGCCTGAAGTCAACTAAAGCGCTAATGATAACCATCAAAATGCCTGCCATTTGATATAAATAAATAAATACATTTTTAAGCAATATTTTGCTAAATCCCACGGAAGTTGTCAATCGAATATATTCTAGGGCACAAACAAATGCAAATAATGCACTGGAAAATGAAAGTATTTATGGGAAATCTTAATGGAAAGGCCATGTTGGGTCAAACATCAATTGAAAAGGGATGGTTCTTCAACTAACTGGATTCCTTGTCATGGGAATGAGTACTCTAAAGGTTTTTAAAGAATGAGTTAAATTCGAATGCAACTGTATTATTCATATTTTCCGTAAACCAAAAATAGTAATTCA